GCTGCTAAATTAAGTACACAGTCATATCCCTCGTCACATTCCATTCCAATCATGGCAACCTCTTGTATCATTTCTTTGGCTCTGGTTTTCTTCTTTCATCATCTTATCATTCTCTCTGCTGCCCAGCCCAGCTTCGTTTATTACAATTGTTCACTTGGCAAAGGAACCTACATAAAGCCAAGTGCCTATTACACCAACCTCAATGCTCTTCTTTCTAGTTTCACTCTCGACACAGTAATTGACTATGGCTTCTACAATTCTTCCTTCGGCAAAAGCCCTGATAAAGTTCACGCACAAGGGCTTTGCCGAGGTGATGAGGAGCCACTTGCTTGCCGGAAATGCCTCAACGATGCCAAAACCCTCCTTCCAAAGCTGTGTCCATATCAGAAAGACGCTTTTGGATACTATGACATCTGCACTTTTCAATACTCAAGTCGTTCCTTGTTGGGGATATATCGGTTTCCTGATTTTTCCCACAGTTTTAACAATCCACAAGATGCAGAAGACGCACAACATTACACAATTGCCCTTAATGATCTGATGCGAAGTCTGAAAAGCAAAGCTGCTTCTGGAGACTCTACTTTTAAGTTCGCTGCGGAATACAAAATGACAGGTGATGAGTCTGAACCTACTGTGTATGGTCTTGCTCAGTGTTCGCCGGATCTGTCTAGGAGAGATTGTGACGCTTGCTTAGGGAACGCTATCTCGAAAATTCCAGATTGTTGTGAGAACAAGATTGGTGGTAGGGTTATAAAATTCAGCTGCAATCTTCGATTTGAGAAGGTCCATTTCTATGATGATTAATCACCCTTTTTAATAAGTCTTTGAGCTTTCAGGTGTTAGTTTTGTGTGACTTTTGTCCTCGGTCCAACATGTGACAGTCAGAAGTATTAAGTATGTAGCTTTGGTCGCAGATTTGTTGAAGCATGAACATCAGAAAGCTTCAACTATATATGCGTCTCAACGTTTATACTCCAGAAGTTTTCATCACACAAAAAAGTCAAGTTTCTCTCAGCATTTCCCCTTAACTGTTCCAACTTCTGAACATGCATCCGTTATTGGTCTAAAAAATAATAAATAATAACTTGCAGAAGGTGCATATAGTAAATACTCCTTCGATCCTTAATATATAAACTAATTATTAAGTTAATTGATCTTAAATATAAGACCTATTTCTCATATTCATTAATTTTTTCTAAATTACCTTTATGGATACTTGATAATGATTATTTTTATAATTAAATAGGTATAGGTTTTGAAATATATTTAGTGAAATCTATGGATAATTTATACCTATTTAACCATCTTTTATTAATGTATCTTCTTTTAAATTAATTATAAGATAAAAGATGATTTTGCATAAAATCTACTCAAATCTTTTATTATTTTTAATGCAGGAGATATAAAATTATTAAGAGAAGAAAATATCACAAATAAAAGATGAGACAAAAAGGAGCAACATATGCAGCAAATAATATATATATATATATATATATTCACATATGAGAATCAAAGGCGTGAAGAGGGGAGAAAAGAAGCCGTGGGTCCCGGTCAAGAATCAGGGAATGAGTCAAATATAATATATTGTATTATATTGATTGAAGGAAACAAGGAACCGTGATATTAAGCACAACATCATGATATAAGATAATATATTATATTCTATTGGAGATATACGGATAGATATGGATAGGAGGCGGTGGATTCAATTCAAGGGAGAGAAGACGCGCAACACTTATAAATAGGAACCGGGGATAGCAGCAAGAGGGCATCTCAAATTCCTCATGCTGTTTCTGGCGACAGCAGCTAAAGGACGAGGAAAAGGCAGTGAGTAGAGAGAGCAGTGTGGAATCAAATCGTAAGTCTTAGTTCCACTGTGACAGCAGCGAGGAATTGGGACGAGCCGATTGGAGGTAGCAAGCAGAGGTGGCGATTCTCTTTCTAGCGACAGCGGAGAAGGACCTCTCAGAGATTTGTTTTCCTCTTTCCATCTTTATTCTTTCGTTGAATCTGAACTCTTTCTTTTCAGTTTGAATTTTATTTTTATGGATTTTATTTTAGCCATGTGTGGCTAGTTTTCTTCTAGACTTAGAGTAGCTATGAACTTACGTATGGATTAGACTTTGTTTTCATTTAATGAATTATGCTTGATGTTAATTTTGGTTACTTGATCTTAGTTTAATATATCTGTTTAATGTTTGGCCACCATTAAATATGAGTTTGAGCACTGAGGTTAGCCTTGACGAAGGAAATCTTAAGTAGGCTCTAGGATTGAGTAATATGGGATTAGATTTTTATCTTATTTGCGAGTAGGATAGAAATATACCTAGGAGCCCCATATAATTGATGAAGAGTGAAATTATTTTATCCTCTTAAGTATTTGAGTTAGACATAACCTTATTACTTAGGAGAGGGTTATAAGTGGATCGAAAGACACTTTTAGCTATAAATACTCTAGATTAACTAAATTAACATGGAGACTAATTAGTTAAATAAAAAGCAAAAGTCTATGAAACTAGTAAGGGATTAGTAACTCTAAGTTGCCTTTAATATTGAATTTTTTCTGTCTTTATTCTTTTTATCCGATCGTTCAAAATTCAGCTTGCTTAACTTAATTGAAAATAGGAACTTTAGTGCCTAAACACTATTTTGTCTAATTCTCTGTGGGAACGATACTCTATACTTACTCTTTATTACTTGATCGACACGTGCACTTGCGTTATTCACAAATTGTGTGCATCAATACTCCCTCAACCATAATCAAGTAAAAGAGGAAGAGAGAATATCAAGAAAGATGATCATGGTGTTTTAAGAAAAACATGTCATACTTCTTATAATTAACTAACTTACCTAATTTCTTTAATCTAATCACAATAGTTAAACAGGTTCTATATCAAGGACCGGAGGAGTAATATGCATTTGCATTGATGAAAACCAAATAAAAACTCGCCTTTTAAGCTTAATACATCTGAGAATATGAAATGCCTAAAATATAAGCATGTTTTTCAAATGGTAGCCTGGCAGAGCATATAACCGGAGTGAAATTCTGATTCAAATAAATCTTTTTGGCGGCCAACGAAAAACAATATATAGCAAGATTTAATACTACATAATTCTAAATTACAGCATATAACGAAGATGAACCAGGGAACTTGCGAAGTATAAACCTTTAATCATAGTGACCCGTGCAGCAAAAATTGAGATATGTTGAGTGAAACTCGCATCCTGTATAGCAAATATAGAAGTTGCACAACTTCTGAGCATCTGAATATCACCTTCAAGGCCAGCACCTAGTTAGCCAGCATAATATTAATAAGGAGTAATTAAATGAGGCCACATTTGTTTATGCTTGAAACAATACATTCTCGTTCACATGATGATGCTTGGATAGAGCTAGTAGTATCTCGTTCACAGGATATATATCTTGTTACTTCTTGAACACACAGTAACAAGATATTGATGCATCTTATTGGTTTCATTGGACGGCTGTGATATTCCACTACTTTGTTCCACGCATGCATTTTATTTGTCAAAACGAACATGGATGATACTCCTCCGGTTCTTAATATAGGATCTAATTGTTGAGTTGATTTTGATCCTAAATATAATACCTATTTCTCATATTTATCAATTTTTTCTAAATTATCCTTGTGGATACTCCTTCAACTATAATCAAGTAGAAGAGGGAGGAGGATATTAATAATTAAAGATGATTATGGTATTTTAGGAAAAACATGTCATATTTTTTATAATTAACTAATTTACCTAACTTTCTTAATCTAATAAAATTAGTTAAATATGTCTTATATTAAGGACTGAAGGAGTAGTATATATTTGTCGAATTGGCCTGAAAAAAAGATACACATTAATTAGTGGAAGAAATTAAAGACGCAATGTATGGTTTACCATAATGAGCGGCACACACACACATATGGTTGACCACGCGCAATTGATGGTTGTTTTCCGAGATCTAATCCCATGTTTTCCTTGACTTGTGTCATGTAACCTGTTCTATTTTAAATATAAGATTTAGCTGAGGGATTTGGTCTTTTTTTTTTTTTTGAGCGGCAGAGAGATTTGGTTAACAGTGGAAGTTTTAGTGTAAATGATACCGTTGCAATTTTTTTTACAAATAACTAAATAATTTTTAATTTTTACATTTAACCTTGTCTTTCATTTGTCGGGCATTTCGTTCCTCTCCTAGGATATAAAGGTACTGTCTGTATTACTATGTTACACACAGACGAACAATACTTTGCTCGTCCAACTTACTCTTCTTTCAACTTGTAACTCCTAAAATTTTCATAATATTCACAAAACAACGTTAAAAATGAAAATAAGAAGAGGTCTTTATCCATTGTGCGTCACGGACGACGTATGTAAAACGTTCCCTTCTATAATGGGAATATAATGGAGGCCCCGCAGACGCAGTGGCCATTTATATTCCAATAATGTGGAAATGTGAATGGACATATAGTTGGCTTATAATGATATGTACTGTAAGTAGCTGTACATCAATTTAACTACAGTATCGAATAAAATAATGCAAGAGGTAATGAGTACTGAGCTGACAATAAGAATGCGCATGACTTCTATTTCTAGAAACCTGGACCACATACACCAATTATTTTAGTGCTAATACTTATCAAATCTCAACTACTTAAATTTAATATGAACAGTCAAGATTTTAATATTTGATATTTTTGCTTTTTTTAAAATATTTTTCTTTTTATAGGTATATAATCCAAAATAAATATAATATCTTAACTGTAAGTTTTTTAAAAAATAATTTGTTTATTTAAAATTTATTAATTAAAAATTTTAAATCTATACGATCAAAACTAATTTTGAATGGTTTAGATCTACCGTGGCGATGAGCATTGAAACTGATATCTTTTCATTAGTTTGTTGACTTATATGAGCAAGTGGAGGATGTCTTTTTCCACTAATACCTGTAGTTACTGGCATCTCATCCCATCGCATTTCATTATCTTCCAGTGATGACGACGTCTGTCATTTCTTTAGCTCTGGTTTTGTTCTCAGTTCACCTTACGGTTCTCTCCGGCCAGCCTAACTTCGTTTTTTACAAGTGTTTCATAGGAAAGGGAACCTACCCAAACAAAAGTCCCTATGAAACCAACCTCAATACTCTCCTTTCTAAAATCACTTCCAACACCATTATTGACCATGGCTTCTACAGTTCCAACTATGGTCAAGCCCCCAACATAGTTCACGTACGAGGTCTGTGCCGGGGAGACGTGAATCCGATGACTTGTCGGAATTGCCTCAACGATGCCAAAACCCTTCTCCCAAAGGTATGTCCAAATCAGAAAGAAGCATTTGGGTACTATGACTTCTGTACTTTTCAATACGCAAGTCGTCCATTGTTGGGATACCTGGATCCTGAATTTGCCCACAGTTTCAACAACCCAGAAGATGCAACAGACAAAGAAGAGTTCACAAGTGCGCTTAATGATCTAATGCAGAGACTGAAAAGCGAAGCTGCTTCTGGGGACTCTAATTTTAAGCTATCTGTGGGATGCAAAATAGCTGATGAGTCTGAAACCGTTTATGGTCTTGTTCAGTGCTCGCCCGATTTGTCTAGGCCAGACTGTAATGCTTGCTTGGAGAAGGCGATCTCAGATATCCCACTCTGTTGTAAGAACAAGATTGGTGGTAGGATTATTAAACTCAGCTGCAATCTTCGATTTGAGAGGGTTCATTTCTATTATGATTAAACTCTGATCTCTTGGAAATGTGAGTCAAAATATATATTAGTTACCCTTATGGGTGTATCTCCAATATGAACTTGGCTTATTTATGTGTTTAGGAATAAGTGACCCACGCCTAGGACTAGGAGTAATTTGTGCTAAATGTAAGGTTGTTTGAAGTGTCATGGAAATCTGTATAAATAGGTAGAGTGGTTTGTGTGTTTAAAAAAGAGTGCTGGTGTATGGCAAGTCTTAATAATACACATGAATGCTTTAGATTTAACTCTCTCTCTCGCTCTTCCTCACTAATACTTTCTCATAAGCAACAACTAACCAAATTACATAAATCAAAATGTTGATTAAAATTAGTTAAAAGCAATGACTGTGTTAGAAATATAATTTATTTGTTAAATATAATCTTACTCATGAAGAGAGTAAGTGAGAGAGAATGTGTAATAAGTGGTGTAAAGACATATTTAATGGGAAAAGATGTAAAGAATATTTAAAATTTCAGACAAAAAATATGTTGCTTATATTTATATTTAGGATCAGTTCTATGTAAAAAGAAGTGGCTTGTATAATGTAGTATATTGGAATGGAGGAGTATGCGTGAATTTGTCTCTGGGAATATAAAAATTAATATTTTTCTTTGAAAAATAAAAAATTGATAATTGACAATAAGTATTATCATATTTTAACGTCGTGACCATTTATATTCCAATAATGTAGAAATGTGAATGGACATATAGTTGGCTTATAATGATATGTACTGTCCGTGACTGTACATCAATTTAACTACAGTATCGAATAAAATAATGCAAGAGTTAATGAGTATTGAGCTGACAATAAGAATGTGCATGACTTGTATTTCTAGAAACCTGGACTACATACACCAATTATTTCAGTGCCAATACTTATGGTTCCTCCGCATGATAATTACCACATGTTAGCTTTATCGGTTGTTTCCCACTAAGTAAGTGCTGTGTTTTTTCTATTTGGTCAAGTTGTTACGTTTTTCTCAGTTGAATTTTGCTGTGGACGTTGATTGTTAAGATTTCATTACTGTTATCAGTTTATGTGAACAATGATACTTTTTTCCCTTTCATTTTACTTTCCGTGTACTATTGTATGGGAGTTAATTAAGATTTTAAAAGGAAAAAAATCTTTTTGATTTTCCCCAAATTATAATCTGATCAATTTTCATTTCTAATCTGCTCCTATAAATGTCTACTCTGAGAGAGACAAGCTGAGCAGGGGACTCTTATTATATACGCATCAATAATCAACAAGTATAGTAATAAAAGGTTAGGCTTTAAATTCATTTAGGCAAGCAGTATCTGATTTTAGTTAATTATATATATATAGCATGATGTTATATTTGTATGTTAACAACGTTGAAGAAGCTCGCTTATGAAACAAAACTGTAGTTTTCTTTAATCGAAGAAATGACACGAATGACATTTATATGTCATTCACATCCTCTTTGCTCATCAGCAACTTCATAACTTGTCATAATCACGACCCGGCCCATTCAACAAGGAAACTATACGTTAAATTCCTTTCAGAACTTGACTCTTTATAACTTTATGATAAATTTCATTCTTGCTGGCAGGTTTGATTTGAAATTAGTGCGAATGCGTACAGATACCTAGCCATCCAAGACGTGAGATGTGGGATGGGAGTTGGTCAATGACGGCCTAATGTGATGCGCATTGTAGGGTAGATTTTGCAGAATGGTAAGGCACATGCACTGACTTTTATTAGTCATGGTAAGAATACAAATGAAATTATTGCAAGATAATCTTTGAAATTTCCAATGTTAAATTACCAAGTTGGTTCCTATTAATCTCTCACCAAATTTTTAAAGAACACTATCAGTTGATCAACGTAGGAAGATGGGATGAGTTAGATGTTGAAGTGGCTAAAATAAGATGTGATGTGATTTTTTACGGTGTCCTAAGCGGATAAAGTTACATCCCAGGTGGTGTGTCCAAGTTGGCGTCCTATATGTTGATCAAGCCTTTCATGGCAACATGCATGTGACATTCAACATTACATTTAACAAGTCAACCCAAAGCCAAATCATCCAAGGTTAGGAATACCTAAATGAAGAGATTTATCTTTAAAAGGCTACAATATGCATTGAGAGCCCAGATCACTATATATTAAAGGCCTAATACATAAATATACACTTGGAGGAGACAAATTAAGTCATAATCTTCTAAATTTATGCTCAATTGCATATCCTAATTAATGTGTCATAGAAATTCACGACTGTAAATAGTCGCATGGTGCATAATAAAGCTTTCGACGTATATACGTATAATTTACTTCGTGCTTCGCGGCACTGTCAACCTTGTCTACGCAACAATCTGGCATTTAAGATTTCCTTTAATACGTTGTGCAGAAATGGCCACTCGCACTGATTCTGAATAACTAGTGATAAGAATAGAACAATTTGTGTGATGCACATTGTTAGCAATTAATTGTCAAGATCATGAATTGATAGGTCAAGTCAATATAATCGTGTCTTTCCCCCAAATTTTCAGACTAAATGACTAAGTCTATGTCAGATATGAAGTGGAGCTTTCTATTTTGCCTCTGTCCAATTTGAGTGCAGAAATGCCCACTCGCACTGATTCTGAATAAATAGTGATAAGAATAGTACAATTTATGTGATGCACATCGTTAGCAATTACTTGTCAAGATCATGAATTGAGAGGTCAAGTAAATATAATTGTGTCTTTCCCCCAATTTTTCAGACTAAATGACTAAGTCTACGTCACATATGAAGTGGAGCTTTCTATTTTGCCTCTGCCCAATCTGAGTGCAGAAATGGCCACTCACACTGATTCTGAATAAATAGAGATAATAATAGAACAATTTGTGTGATGCACATTGTTAGCAATTAATTGTCAAGATCATGAATTGAGAGGTCAAGTCAATATAATCATGTCCTTCCCCAATTTTTCAGACTAAATGACCAAGTCTATGTCAGATATGAAGTGGAGCTTTCTATTTTGCCTCTGCCCAATCTAAGTCTTGCTGGCAAAGAAAGGGCCTCTATATATAGATGAACAACAAGCAGTTGAAGACATGCATTGAGAAAAATGGGGTATTCAGTGAGAGAAGAGGTGTGGGGGGTGATGGCCATAGTCATATTCATATTATTAGGATTTAATGGAGAAGCTAAGGGGTGCTTGAAAGAAGAGAGAGAAGCTCTTCTGAAATTGAAAGAAGCTTTCAATGATCCAAATGGCTCTTCTCTTCCTTCTTGGAATAACCAAACCTTCTCTGATTGCTGCACTTGGGAGGCTGTGAACTGTGACAACTCCACTCATAGAGTCATAAGCCTTTATCTGAACAATACAAGACCTTATGAGTTGAGAAACATCAAATGGTCACTCAATGCTTCTTCTTTTCTCCCCTTCATCCAGCTTCAAGAGTTGTATTTGGATGGGAATTACTTGTCAGGTCATCCTCTTTCTTTTACCTATTCTATCATTCATGCATACATGCGCGCGCACACACACAGACAATACATAAACATATATTGTTATTTAAGACCGACATATTTATAAGCATTTCGAACTGTGATTTTTGAAGATGTAAAAGCACATTAGTTAAAAATGATTATGATCATATAATTCATTGCCTCTTATCTCGTTCTTTTTCGTCAGTTTCCTCCTTTAGCCCACTGATTTGCCGACGCAAGAGTCCACTCTAGTTCTAGCTAAATACTTGTGCATAATTTCTGATTGGAATAATGAAACTTTTTGTCCCTCAAATTTACTTCACTTATTGATTTGGTCCATGAAATTTAATTAATTGTTATAAATCAAGTCCCCAGAGTTTCGTAATCATACAAAATTAGTCATTATGGTTTGAAGATATATATATATATATATATATAATCCTAAACGCACATGTGCTGTCTCTAACCATTAATTCAAGGATGATAACCCTCACTTTGCTTTATTTATGAAATCTGAACCAATTTTTTCATATTTTCTCCCAATAATTATATGTTATATCACTTCATTTATTCTCGCTCATTCTTATCTTTTTCTTACTCAATTTCAGTCTCATTCACCATTCCTCTCCATAAATATGGATATTATTTTTGAAAAAAAAACATTTTTACATATTTATCGCCTTTAAACAATTTTAACAAACTATATAGTCTACAAAATTTAATCATTTATTTCTTACAGATAGCATCAGAGGGAGTAAAATTGCGTATGAAACTTTAGGAACTTGATAGATGAAAATTAAACTTCACAGACCAAATTGATAACGGAGACAAATTAAATTTGAGTAACAAAAGTTTTATTATTCATTTTAAAAAAATATATTCAAGTAATATATTTTAGAAAATGTTTGAGATACTAAACGTTTTGATTCGGTTTTTAATTTTTTGTAAAAAAATAAATTACTAAGCATGATATTTTCTTGGATATATAGAGGGGCCCAAAACAAGCTTAATAGACACTACATTATCAAACTTTCACTTCATGTTAAATTATGAAGAGGATGATGATATTAATTATATGAATTATTTTTTATAATTCTTTATACCCACTAACATTCATAGTAACTGATCACGTGTTGTTTGTGGGACAGAGCTGCTTGGCAATATCAGGCTGGTGAACGTGGAAGTGTTGGTGTTACAAGGGAATATGCTCACAGAATTCCCATATTTCGGTGCTAAATCTTTGTCTTCTATATTATAGTATATTTTGAGGGACATTTGCAGTTACTGAAACGTGCATCAAAAGTATATCTATTTTTAGAAAAAAGATTACCGGGCCATCATTTTAAGAAAAATGCTAAAAGGAATATATAGACAAAGTTTTCTCCATTAAATATATGAAAGTTCCTGTTTTTTTTTTTTTTTTGGTTGATTTTGTTGGGAAGTCAAATTATTTACCTTTACCATATAATCATCTCAACTGAACAATTTATATGCCTTTATTTAATTAAGAGAATTGAATGAAATGTCAAAAATAAGAGCTAAGATGACGTTTCTTTACTTAGCAGATTCATTATCAATAAATTTTAACAACATACACACAAATTTTTGAAGAAGTTGTGGCTTAATGTACACATTGATTTCCATTTGGCTTTTGGCAGACCTTTCTCATTCACCTAATCTGAAGTGGCTGCGGCTTGATGACAATAACTTGGAGGGCAGTATTCCAGAATCGATTACGTCTCTTACTTCCCTCACCGGATTGACATTACGCTGGAACTACCTGACTGGATCATTGCCACAACAAGGTACGCATCATATTTTATAGCATCTGCGATGAAAAGAAAATAATCCATTAATTGAGTATTCGCCAATAAACATCAAATTTACTGATAAATTTTTTTTATTTTAATTAAACAGTCAAATTTTCCTTGTTCTTGCAAATTGAGTCGACTGTTCAATGAACCCGATTTCCAATCCATCTCCTAACTGGCATGCGGCAACTTGCTCTCCCCCAGGGAGGAGTAGTTTAAAATAATGTAGTCAAAACAAATAACAATTGACAAAATAATAATAATAAGATCGAGCCGTATTTACACACATGGACAGGCTAAAACTAATAAATGGAAGTGACTTTATATTTCTTATTTTTCCTCATGCATTCTCTATATTTCATTTATTTTTACTTATATTTTTGGGCTTAATGTTCAGGCTTTTTTCTGGGGCCCAATATTAATTTAAATACATTGTTCTGACGAAATAAATTTAATGAAGAACAATGGTATGTGTTAGCAGGAGGCTTATGCAATTTGAAGAATCTTTTAGCATTGGATCTTGGCAACAATGAATTTGAGGGGCAACTTCCTGCGTGTCTTGGCAATTTGACGTCTCTACGTGTGCTTTTTCTTCTTCGAAATAATTTTGATGGAACTTTTCCTTTCTCAATCTTTCATACGTTGAGGTCCCTAACAACAATTTCTCTTACTGACGATAGTTTCAGTGGCTCATTTTCACTCTCTTTGTTTGCCAACCACTCCAACCTCCAAATGTTTTTCATTGCATGCTCTAACGCCAACCTCAAGCTTGAAACTGAGAATCCCCCATTTATCCCTTCCTTCCAATTAAGGGCTTTAACAATCCACAACTGCACTCTAAATGAAGCCAGCAATAAAAGAATGCCTACCTTTCTTCTTCATCAATATGACTTGTTGTCTCTAGAACTTAGTTACTTGAACATTTTAGGGACCTTCCCGTCCTGGCTTTTGACAAACAACACAAGACTAACTTATTTCAATTTGGCACATAACTTGTTCACTGGTCCCTTTGAACTCAATTCCACCTCAAAATGGCTTCAAATGGAGTCTTTTAATATTTCATCAAACCCCATTAGAGATGAAATCCCTCCTCATATTGGCTTTATTTTTCCCAACTTGATTTCTCTTCTCATGTCTTCAACTTCATTGCAAGGTCCCTTTCCAGCTTCAATAGGTGAAACGAGACAACTGAATGATCTCGACTTGTCAAATAATAATTTATATGGTTATTTGCCATGAATTCGGTCATGGTAACAATGAATTGAGGTATTTGAAGTTGTCAAACAACAACCTCAGTGGCCCATGCTTACCTATAGGATCAAATTTCACACATTTGTTGTTTTTGGACCTTAGCAACAATAACTACAAACGAAAGCTTGAAGGTGGAGTTATGAATAGTACTAAGTTAAGAATGTTGGATATAAGTGCCAACCAATTATATGGTGAAATACCTAGCTGGATCGGAAATTTTCAACATTTGAGCTACCTCATATTGTCAAGGAATTATTTAATAGGTCCACTACCAAAAAGCTTTTGCAGCTTGACAAAACTTGCATATGTAGACCTTGCTTACAATAAATTCAATGGCTCTCTGCCAAGTTGTTTGAATATGCCGTTGTTGAGGTACTTGCATTTGCAGAGCAACCATTTCATGGGACCTCTACCTTCCACTTTAGCCCATTCCCCTTTATTGTCGATTTTGGATTTGATGAATAACAATTTTTCTGATCGAATTCCAAGATTGATTGGCTCATTTTTGAGTTTAAGGGTCCTCATGTTAAAAGAAAACAAACTTGAAGGCTCTATTCCTATGAATTTATGTGAGCTCAAGAATATCAGTTTATTAGATCTTTCTCAAAATAAGCTTTCTGGAGGCATCCCATATTGCTTGAATAACATCACATTTGGGAAGATAGATGCACCAAGGGAAAAGGAAATAGGACATTTTATTGTGTCGTGGACTACAAGACTTTCAAATTATGTTTTTGACTTTCAAACAGGTGAAGTTTTCATGCCAAAAGAAACAGAAAACGTTCCACTGTATAAAGACCAAGAAGTAGATTTTACAACAAAAAGCAGGAATGAATCTTACAAAGGAAGCATTTTAAATTTTATGTCTGGGTTGGATCTCTCAAATAATCTATTGGTAGGCGAAATTCCTTCACAAATTGGATACTTAGATGCCATCCATGCATTAAATTTGTCAAACAATCGATTGAAAGGGCCTATTCCAGAAACATTTTCTAACCTCAAGCAGATAGAAAGCCTTGATCTTTCCCACAACAAATTGACAGGCCACATTCCTACACAATTAACTCAGCTGTACTCCTTGTCTTCTTTCTCAGTGGCTCAAAATAATCTATCTGGAACAACACCTGACATGAAAAATCAATTTGCAACTTTTGATTCAGCCTGTTATGAAGGGAACCCTTTTCTCTGTGGCCCCCCTTTGCAACAAAATTGCTCAATAACAGGGAGAAACAGGCAACCTCATCATTTGGAAACATATGATTTTCGAGATGCTTTCTTATGGAGTTTTGTTGGAGCATTTGCAGTCTTTTTCATAGGTGTCATTACAGTTCTTTATTTGAACCCTTACATTTGCAATTACAAACTACTCATATTAGAGAGAGATATAACAAGTTACTTGTATGAGTGGTGGCAAAAAAGAATAAGGTTTTAATTATAGTTCATAAGATTTTGATCATGTAACAGATGGCTTGGCAATGTTTTCTAGAATTACAATAACCAAAAGATTGCTGCTTTCCAGTCTTCTCATGATCAGAAAGAAAACTAAATTGGAATATTCGAATCATTACTTCTTATATGTGTGCACAGCTTAGTAATCTCTTTTCTCGTAATCCTTCATTATCATCTCTATTTCGTCTATGCTTCTCTGCTCCTATCGTTCATAAGATAATCAACTTAACTTCATCAATATTTTTTAACCATGAATTACTACCATCCACAAGAACCTCCTCCTATGTTTACCGTCATAGGTATATCATATATGGTTTGTGATCAGAATACTCTGTGGCCAAACGCAGTTTCAGTGATGATTCCTTCAGGCTTCTTCACAGTTTGCCCTATATCTGAACATTAACTATAGATGCGTGAGATTAACAATACTAATTAGTGATGTTATGTTTACTGGTGATTTCATATTCACCACCAATAGGGTATCCCTCCAATGATGCTTCTTTTGTTAGGGACGGTGAGATCACAAGTCAGCATCAAAACCTCTCTGTTTTTAATTTGCTTTTACGAACTCCTATTGGTTTCTTAACTTCTCTTTAGGCAGTTCCTAATATGTGCATTGTTCTGTCCCCTTTTTTGACTTTCTTAATTGCAGTTGTGTAGCTCTGTGCTGCTGCTTTTTTTTTTTTTTGGATTATTGCTATGTTGAGTCCCACAATATTTTTTATCAACTCTGTGCTGCTCTCATATGTTGCTGTTCTTCCCCTTACTTATGTTATTCCTATTTTGGGAGAGAATAAAAAAAAAAAGAGAGACGATTCTTCAAAAAATACTATAATTCTTTCATATCTTTAAACATGTACAGGCTCGCATAAAATTTAACAACAACTAAAATGTTTAAAGATACCTTACAACAACTTTTGTCGCACGGTCCATGATTAAACTATAAAATTAAGAATAAACAGAGTCCAAAACCAATGAACAAGACCAAAAAAAAAATTTGAGAGGATATAATTTTTTATTTGGCTAGCCGTTCGCACGTTCGACCTCACATATCAGTTATATATTTTCCCAACTTTTTGTTGTTGTATGATTCTTGGTGCATAGGAGTCTTTGGCTAACTAAATTCAAAACTGCCAATCCGGTTTAGATTAATTCAATGAGTTGTTATCCTAATAATTAACCACAATTGATTGACTAAGACTCAATTTTAGTGCTAAACACAGATAAACGTATAGAAAACTTTAAAGTCTAGATGTATAGTTTACTTGCTGCACAGCAATCTCAGTCTACGATAGAGTCTGGCTTTCCAGGTTCCCTTTGATGGATGGGTGCATAGTTTGTTTGATTGTGCAGAAATGTCAAAAGCACATGCACTGAGATGTTTACGGATACATAGCCATCTGAGACTTGAGATAGGAGTTGTAGGGTACATTCACGACTTGTTCTACAAGGAACTACGTTAATTAAATTCCTCTCATAGCTTGTCTCTTTTTAACTTTATGGTAAATATCATTCTTGTTGATAGGTTTGATTAGAAATTAGTGTGAATGTGTACAGGTACTCAGCCGTTTGTGCAGAAGTCAAGGCACATGCACTGACTTCTATTAGTCATGATAAGAATACAAAGCTTGTCATCAGCATCAGAAAACGAGAGCTTATATAAGCCCTATCGTGCATTCCGTGGAGGGAATTTTTACCTCTTTCTAATTCATCAGATTAAACAAATATTGATGGTTTGTGGAACTTTGATTGCGATTTTTGTTTTTGGGGGAAGAACTGATCATTTAGTCCGGTACTATATACTGATTTTCAAACAAATCCTTACAATTGAAATTATTGCAAGGCATGCACACTCCTTAAGATCCCCCTTGATGCGTTGCAGATCAACATGCCAAAGCAAACGCATTGATTGTGAATAACAGTGATAAGAATATAACAATTTGTGTGGTGCACATTGTTAGCAACTGTTCAAGTCCAATATAATCATGTGTTTCAGGGAAGGACTATGTTAAATTTTTTTTTTCTGATTTTTCTGACTCAACAAGCAAGTCTATGTCAGATATGAAGTGGAGCTTTCTCCACAAGTAAGACCATTTGAGTTTTGGAACATAATGCCCAACTTGAGCCTCTCACGCAAAGAGAGGGCAAAACAATCTCCTTACTTACTTCCTTTATATCAATGGATGAACAGCACGCAGTTGAAGACATCCATTGAGGAAGCATATAGTGGAAAATGGAGTATTCAGTGAGAGAGGAGGTGTGGTCGGTAATGGCCATAATCAAATTCATGTTTCCATTTTAATGGAGGCGTTTGGGGATACTTGAAAGAAGAAAGAGAAGCTCTTTTGAAATTGAAAGAAGATTTTAATTATCCAAATGGCTCTTATCTTCCTTTTTGGAATAACCAAACCTTCTCTGATTGCTGCAATTGGAAGTCTGTACAGTGTGGCAACTCCACTCATGGAGTTATAAGCCTTCTGAACAATACAAGAGCTGAAGAGATGAGACACATCAAATGGTCATTCAATGCTTCTTCTTTTCTCCCGTTCCACCACCTTCAAATATTGGATTTAAACAGGAATTACTTATCAGGTCACCCTCTTTCTTTTAAGTATTTTATCATTCATGCACACACACGGCCATCATATTACATTGACATGCATTGTTAATTAAGACTGATATTTTTATAAGCCTTTCAAAATATTTTAATCACGAAAAATTAATTAAAATATGTAAAAGCACATTAGTTACAATGAAAAATTAGTAAAAAATTATGACTGTATCAATAATTGTCCGTTATCTTGTTCTTTTTTCTTAGTTTCCTCTTTAAGCCAGGGGATCTGCCAAGGTATAAGGACATATTCTAGTTAAATATAGATAATTTTCTTTTTTCCTTTCTCTATGTGGTTGTCTAGTTCAATGATTGGACTTATAACATAGCGTTGTATAGTAGTTGACTATAAGGTGAATGGTCGAATAAAATAACTTACTAAATGAAACAGCAAATGTTAATGTGAAATTACATTTGCCCATATACTTGCAATGACAAATTTTTATTAATATGCTTACTCTTGTTGTGTCCTTCGAGTATATAAATAGAGAGAAACAGAGCAAGAAGCAGCCTTATATAAAGGCTATTCACATTCATCTTTCTTTACCACGCGCTTTCACAATGTTATTCGAACATTCCATTAAGCTACCTTGGTCGCCGCCGTCTCCAACCTATATGTATTTGTGTGCGTATAACTTAGCAATCTCCTTCAAAAATCCTTCATTGTTATATATCTTTTTGGCCTCTGCCTCTCTGTTCCTAACGTCATTATTTATTTATGAACATTGCTTTCCGGATTTACTTATAATGCCTGAATCACCAAAGCATGTTGAAGTTGATTCGTACATTTAAACATGTCTCCACGTATCAAATCCAATTTTAGCACCTGACATACAACAGACTGTAACTGCTAATGCAAATCTTCCAATATTCAGCAAAAATATGGTCGGTCTTGCCCGCAAAAATTAACCGCTTTCATTTTTTTGGT